TTTCGTGCTGAAGCCAGGGGAATTTTTGCCTTGCAGGGTTAAAGACCTGCTGACCTCATCCCGCAGTGCCAACACACCATCAGCACTTTTACAGAGCTCCTGCTATTTCATCCCTCTGAAACGGACTTAGCAACTTTGTGGTCAGCACAAGTAACTTCATTTTCTGCGCGGCCGATGGAAACCGCTGGCTGCGCTGCAGCTCTCTACTTCTGAAAACCACGGGGTGTGCATTTGTTTAGTGGCCCAGGGCTTTCGTTTGGCATTGTGTTTTGGTTTTTTCCCTGCACAGCTACGCAGCTAAATTCAAGGAAACGCATGTTGTCATTAGATAGCCCTGGAGAAAAGCCCCGAACTGTGTCACCTTGTTTAACCAGAACCAAAGGTTGACATGGGTACATCCCTGTTGTGGATTTACAACCAGAATAAACAGAGCTGAACTCTGCTCAGCGGGCGGCTGGCTCGCCCGGAGCTCCCTGCGTGATGCCCAGGGAAGCTGCAGCTCCGCCAAGCCGCAGAGCCCCGCGGCGCCGGATGCTCCCGCAGCCATTGCTGCAGGGCTGCAGGTCAGTCGCCTCTCTCCTTCCTCGGGAAGGCGAGCGCTGCTGGACCCAGCCTTTTATGCAATAATCAGCTAATAATACAAATCTAGCTCGTGCAAGATGCTATCTGCCTTTGGCCATGTTTTTTTATTATCATATTAAAGAACCAAATAGGGCATTTTCAGCCTGAACATGACTTAAAGGTCTCTGAATTCAATGGGGTTTGCCTTGCTGGCAGACTTTGCAATTATTCAGGTAATACAGAGCTGGCAATATCTCTTTATGTTTAACAGGGAAAATGAGTGCTGAAGTCGGGAAGCAATGTTGTAGGCACCCCGGAGAGAAGCCATGCAAAATATTAATATTTAAACAGCAATGAGATCCTGAACAATGAGCAAATAATCATAAAAAATTATATATATCTGAACATACCAACACTGGTTATCTTTTGGGAGACCAGGTCTTGTAGTAAAGCCTCAATTGCAGGATTATGTCTGGAATACAACTCGTACCGATTAATGCCAATGTGGAATTTTAACCAGTTTGGGTAGGAGTCTATGGAGGTTTCTCCAGTTGGCAAAAATTCTTCATTATCTTCGTTTTGCCTACCACCAAAAAAAAAGAACAACAAAACAAAAACCCAAAAATGAGGAGAAAGAAATAATGTTACAGCTTGTAACAGGCATCAAGAAACAGGGCTTCAAAATGTGACAACTCGGAAAGGCAAAGCACTACAGAGGTGGGAGATGTCCTGGGGTTGTCCCTGTGCCGGCTGCTCGCCCGGAGCCTGCTCCCACCTGGGGCCAAGGGGCAGATGGATTTTCACCCTCCACTCCTCAGGCCTGATTTAAAGCCCATGAAAGTCAGGAGCAAAACTCAGAGGGACATCACTGAGCGTTAGCGGAGGCCCTTACATAGCAGAAACACACAGAGCTGCAGGTTTTATGGCAGGTTTAGGTTGGACTATGTGGCACTCATCTTTTACAAGTTTGACCCAAACAACAGCATCATCCTGAACCTGGGGCGGGAAATGGAGAGTGCGGCAGTAACTTGACCTTTTGCACCAAATGCTCCCACTCTCTCTTCTTCTCTTTTTTAAATAGAGAGAATGAGAAGAAACTGGATCACTCTGAACTGGTTGCTAAAGAACAGCTCTGGATGGTTTTGCCCCTTCCCTAGCAGTAGGATACTATTACAGAAAAGAATTGTTAAAATTACTTTTAACTCCTAATTTTCATACTAGTTCTGTGAACGTTGGCTGCAGCCATTAAGGAAAATACGTACAGCAGGCAGCTGCATTGTGGACATCAGTAATTTCACCCTTCACCTACTGCAAACACTATCACATATCTTCGATCCAGAAGTCCTCTGTGTTTTCAGTCATCTCCAGATGTTCATACATTTGTGACTGGTTTTTTTCCTGTTTTTTTCTTTTCCTCTCTCAGAGAAACCAGAACTCTTTCAGGTTATTTCACTTCACAGTCAGTTTTGATTATTAGATGGAAGGGGCCTGGACACTTCACATACTCGTGGGGCGGAAATCAGAAATAGTTATCCTCTCTTTCTAAAGGTTTAGATCATGCTGGCTGCTCTGCAGCTTAACAGAGCTTTTGCAGAGTACAATGCAGCTGTTTAAACATCACAATGTCAGTGTGTTTGGAAGAGGGTGCTGTTGTATTAGACAAGCCTTTTGATTTTTCAGTCATTGACATTTCTCAGCATTTCTTACAAGCCAACAGGGCACACGATGCACAGAGGCAGCTAACTGCTTTGAAGGCTGGAGAGCAGCAGAGGTGCTAGGCCACGGGGATTTAACTGAGGATGAAAAATGTAGCACAGATCAGATCCCGAAGGCAGAAATACCTGCGAGGATGAATGCCTTTGTGACGCTAGACCTTGCTTTTGAGAAAAGTTAATGTATTACTGCCTGGTCTTAGTGCTTAGCCCCAACACCTCAGAGCTGGAGACAAGGAAGGTGCTGGAGAGGCAGGCTCGCCCAATGCTCGCCCTCTTTCTTGCACTGTTTTTTTCTGGTAGCATCTTGCCTCTGCTACAGCTGGAGATGGGATATTGGGGCATAGGGGCCCTTTGGCCTCAGTGCTCCCACCTTCTCGTGCTCCGGCACTTGGTCTGTATTTCATGGCTTTTTGTTTGTTTTTTTGTTGAAGGAACACAACCGGTCAAGCCTGTGAGAGAATTCTCGTTCTCCTGGTGACACCGAGTCACCCTGTTTAGCGTTCTGCCTACTCCA